GGTATCGACCACGCTCACACTATGCTTGGTCACTTTGGATTCAGAAAGACAGATCAGTATATTCATTGGTGGTACTGGTGGCCTACACTAGCCAAAGACACTGACAGGTTCTGCACATCCTGCGGAACTTGCCAGACATCGAAACCTAGTAACCAGGCTCCTGCAGGACTTCTACATAGTCTACCTATTTCAACTAGACCATGGGGCTCTATAGCCATGGACTTCATTGGCCCATTCCCGAAGCCAATCAAACTATGGTCAAACCTCTGGTCGCCCCAACACCAATGAGCAGTTGGTGAATGAGGCCTCAGTAGCTTCTGACTCCAGGAAGCGTTGCCAAGGTCAAGACCCTGACAGTGACCTCTGCTGGGTCTGTGACCTGCAGACTGGTGTTGTTCAACACCCTTTAAGATGTGCACAGTGTGACAACTTTATGCATCACCAGTGACTTGGCAGGGTGGACCCGAGCTTTTGAGAGGCTGCCACGGTGCAGCTAAGCTGCATGCATGGCACGAACAATCCTTCTATGCAACAGTGGGAGGATTGTTCAGGACAGGAAGACCAGCTGCGCCAAGAGCGCAACGAAGCCCAGGAAGCCCACAGGAAAGTTGAGAAGGAGAATTCTCAACTCTCCTCTTCTCTACAGAAGGCTCGCAAAACTGAAAGTTGGTTTTGTGAGCAGATAAAGACACTCCAGTCCACCCTTCGAGAGGTCCGAGAGGAGAAGGCTGAGTTTGACGACGTGACTCAGCATATTAGCCAAGAAGCAGTTGATCTGGAGAATGTCCTCTGCCACCACAAGATTCATCTGCCCACCTCTCAGGCACATCCACAGCCTGTGTTGTGGTCCCAAACACCTGCAAACCAAGTGCCTCTATTCATGCCACTTGGTGCGCTGGAGCCACCTTTGGATTGCGTGCGTTCCTACGTGCCACAGGCAATAGAGCTCGACTATGGCAATCCAGAGTCATCAATGTCTGCCAGAGGCAGTGATGCTCGACCAGGCTCGGCAACAGGAAACTGGCCTGCTAGGAAGTTTTGTCTCCATCCGACAAAGATGGGAAGGCCCACAATTGAAGGATCGGGATACAGTGCCGACAAATTTGATAAATCCAATCCCGAGCTCACTGAATCTGAGCCAGAGAATGCCACTCTGGCACAAAAAAACCTTTGGAGGACTTGCAATCTCAAGAGGAGGAAGTGCAATGAGCAGTGAGCTGCCGCCTCGACAAAGCCTCTCGCGATTACCCCATGGGAGCAGGGCATGAACTACACCAAATATGCTCTGAATGTCACCAAGGATACAAAGGGGAGTACTCCGCTATCTGGAATCCTCCCCATTGGAACAATCGCAAGGGTCGCGACTGGATGAGGTGGGGCTATTATGCCAACCACCACATCAAGTACCTCGATGAGCAGCGAAAGCTGCGCGAGCATGGTGGGGTCCCTGCAGAGATATCCATTCCACCATGGAACGACCAATTTGTGCTACCATTCGTTCTGCCCGTCTGGCCGCACGTAGATCGCCCAGATCCTGATGCGCACCCTGTTCTCATGGCACCAGCTCCCGCTGCTGCCTCGGTCACTGCTGATGTGCCACCAGCTCCAGCTCACGCACGTAGAACCTTGTTCCAGCATGCCCCCGCCTTCGCTCACTCTGAGCCCAACCCACCCAGGCTCCTGCGGCCCCTTAATCTGGGTTTCAGGGCAGGCATTGATTCTTGGAGGGGAAGGAGCAGAGGAACATTGAATGCACCTAGCACACTATGGCCCATACCCACACCACGCTCAGACCATGAGCCAGAGCTCGACTTCCTCTGCAATGACCTCACGAGCACAGAGGAAATCACATCCTTCAATCAACTTCACTTTCTGCATGACACGGCCAAAGTTGATTGCCTCTGTGCAGAAGCCAATCGACAGCCACAACTTCTAGCCTGCAACTTCTAGGGAGCTTGGCTGCACATGTGCAATAGAGGCCACGCGCTCAAGCAACATACTCTCAGTATCAATTGGCATAAGCTGACATGGTACAAAGAGGCAAAGGGCGAAAAGTATGAGGCCCTGCTAAGGCGGAAGTGTGAGCAAAACCAAGCTCAGGCTGCAGCTGCTGAAGGGTTGAGCGAGGATACTCTGACGGGTACCACCAACGCTATTGTTGATGAGGACACGAAAATGAATGATTCTGAGAATATTCAGAACCATCTCCAGGAGCCCAACCCGAGCGACCATGTCCCAGAAGAAGACGTGCCTATAACTGGAGAAAACACGCCCCAAGAGTCGATGTACCTCTCAACTGCTAGCTCATATGTTTCCTTCATGGAGCCTCCCATATTCACTGTTCTCAAAGTCAAACAGTGAAAACTGTTCCTTCGTGAGCATCCAGAATACCACCTTCCAGAGGTACTCCGCAGCAAAGAAAGTAAGCCATCAGTCATTCACCTTCGCAAGCTGTTGCAATTGGGAAAACTGGGTCCAATGAGTGACTCTGCCGAGCTGGACACGCAATGGCTTGACTTGATCATCTCCGCTCAGCACAGCACTCATGTCGTGTCGAGAATCAGAGCTATCTCAGAGACTACTGCATTTTGAGTAGGCTCCAAGATGACACCGTCCACCATAGAGGAATTTTTTGATACCCTAACCACTGCATTTCCCTTGGGGCAAGCGCAGGCTGTGGACGACATCTACACCTGGGCGACAGAGATAGATTTGGCGACTTTATTGTCCCTGAGTCCTTCTATATCCTCTTCGTCGATTGCTGGTCAAGTATCAGACGGTAATCCAGAGCTCATTGAGTATGAGGATGACACTGCAGATTTATTGAGCATTCTTCGCCCTCACTCAATCACGTCTGGGGATAAAGCCACAGAGTCACTGAGCATTCCTCGTCCCCACACGAGCGCGCCCTAGTCTTGTTTCATCTTTGTCAGCCTGGTGACTTCAACTTGCAGGAGCAGGTGTAAGGCGTGTGACATAGCACCCATTTACCGTAGACACCTTCATTTTTGTAACTTGGTGCTCTCGCTGATCAGAGATACGTCCTCCTTGTGCTCACTCCTGTATTTGTTATTGGGTAGCATTCCAGTCTGATATAAGGCCGGGATGCTCCTTGGTTTTGGGCTCAGACTTTACTTTTACCCCTCTGTTGTAGCTACACTTTGCAAATACAATGCAGTCTGGCTCTAGCAGGGTGATTTCTAAGTCTACGACTTTACAGGTCTTACACTTGTGGACGCAAAGAGAGCGTCGGAGTTCAATTGTGAACTGTACAGTTTAACAATTGGCATGATGGCATGCCATTTGTCCTTTAGGTGTTTGAATTGAGGCCACGCATGATTTACCCCTTCTGAGTTACCTCTGCTGGCATAGAAATCTGAATGACATACCATTTAACCTATGATCACCTCTTCTGTGTGATCTCAAGCTGCTTCGAAATTGAGAGAGCCGAAGCACTGCTGCGGTTTCTGCAACAAGGTCTTGCCAACTCAAGATGGAGTAAAGTGGCACATTCAAAATGCACCTGCATGTCGTCTGCACTAGAAGACAAAGATCCTGTCCAAGGGAACAATGCAAACTGCTCTTGAAGCTGAACTCCCACAAATATTCACTACTGATATATCTGTCGATCTGCTTCCTCTGGATGACAGATATCCAAATGTGGCACTTTCTATGCCTGCAGCAGCTCAACATGCAACGGTTGAAGATGTACCTGAAAATGACAGTGGTGAAGACAGTGGTGAACACTGTTTCTACCAGTACTATAAGGGAGAAGCTGGCACAATCTTGGGTTCCAGGACCATGCATTTAGAGCAGATGGAGAGGGAAGACAAGCGAGAGAAGAGGGAGCCCTGGGCTCCTTAAAGCAGTAAGGAAGAGTGGGAGCTTGCGAGGTTCCTTGCAAAGTCTCTCGGGCATAATAAGATTGATGAGTTCTTGAAATTGAACATGGTGAGCCAAAGCTACATCTCCATCATTACAGAAACTTGGACTTATCAAACTTGATATGGTTGGCAGATCAGCAAGCTTGACCTCGGTGCAAAAAGCAAGTACAAGTTCTTCCAAGAACTTGATGAGCTTCCAGCGGGAAGTCAACAATGGCATCTAAATGAAATTACGTTCACTGGAGATAAGCTGGGCAATAACAGAAAGCTGCTCACTGAGAAGCTAGAGATCTGGAGCATGACTCTGTTGAGTGTATCGTGAGCTCATTGGCAACCCCATGTTCTGCAATTGTAT